CTAAAAATGGCGAAGGGGACCCGCGGGGGGGGGCGGACCACCCATGCCAAGCCGCGTTGCCACCAGCCCCTTTCTTTAGGGTTAGGGCAGGGGAAGGCGCAGCCCTGGCCGCCCGCCCGGTTCCTCCGGCCCTGGTCTTCGGGGGTTCTCCCTGGGGGGCTGCCGTCTTTCCCCCCCACCCCCGCAGAGAGCTGGGCCGTTGTCTGGTTTGCTCGGTGCCTGGAATTTGCCTGGGTTGTGCCATCCTTCCCCCCCACCGGCGTGGCCCGGGGAAAGCGTGGAGTCCGAGAAACTTCCGCGTGGTCGCCCGGTATTTTATTTCGGATTAAGAGCATCAGAGCAGGGCTCGCTTTCTAGTTCGGGCTGTAAAAAGAAATAAAATGAAATAAAGCAAGCCCTCGACAGATGTTTTCACAATTGCCGTTCGCAGATCTGGATTATCTCTTCCCGCTGTAACAAAGGGGGGTTGATTTTACGGCTACCTTTTTATTCTTAATAATATTGCCAGCATCTTTTCCTACCAAACGAGCAGAGACGTTTCAAACCTGCTAGCATCTCACTCCGGGAAGGAGTAGGTTTATATTGAAAATCGAAGTAGACTGCAATTAAAATATGCAAGTGAACAATACTTAACACCTTCTCATAAATAAAAGGAAGCGCCTAGTGCATGGTTTGCTCTGCCTGCAGTGGAGCTGCCTCCGCATCCTAGCCTGGGAGTCATCACCCCCGCCCCATCGCGCTGCCCTCTCTCACCGGTCCCTCTCCGCTCTGAAAGTCCCAGAGCCATGCGGGGGGAAAGCAAACCCAGGCACAGCCCAAGTACCACAGAAGGCTATTCATTATCTTTAAGTTTATTTAATATCTCCAGCTTCTGGAACATACTCAGCGGCAGCGTTGGCACTGCCAGACGTTGTCTATCAAAGCGCCATTTGTTCCAGTGCTTTACATATTTCCCCTCTCGCCTCCTCCCCCTCGCAAGACTGAATACAGGCTTGTTGGGGAACGGCAGGAGCAGGGAATCAGATGGTCGGGGCTGGCCCACGCCAAGAGCCCCGAGCGCCGCCGGGCAGCCCCGGGCCGGGGCGGCAGAGCCGGGCTCGCTGCGGCGGGGGCGGTTCAGCCCTGCCCGGTCCCCGGGACCGCTCCGCGTCCTTCTGGTTCGGATCACGGACCTGCACATCTCCTTTGCCTCTCCAGAGAAGGGAGCTTCTTATTCAACTTAAAAATACGTGTACCTAGATATATCTCTCCGCAAATCGATCTTGCAGCGGATTTCCACAAACACACACGCCCTTTCCGTGGGGAAGGGAGGAGGGGAAGAGAGAGGCGGAGGGGAGGGGACAAGAAGGGACATCGTCCTCTGTAGGGTCCCCCCTTGCCACGGGGCTGGGAGGGGGCGGCCTCCCCCCCCCCCGCCCCACGGAGGAGGCAGCGCCGGGGTGGGACGGGGGCGGGGAAGGGGTTCCCACGAACCCCCCAACGTAAATCCTGACACCTTATCGATACGAATCTCTAACAAGGGCCCTTCCGCAGATCATAATGACTTCTCAAAGTTGCTGCAGGTCTAGAAAGCATGCCAGTCACAGCCACAGATCAATTCTACACCCACGGAAAGTGACTTAATAAATGGAACCTCGCCAGTTATTATCCTTGCTAACAGCAGGCCCCTTCTTATTTGTCCTAATTAGCAAGACTGAAATGTCGGAGGAAAGAAGGGGAATATTCAATAAAATCTAAATTATTGAATGACTGTAAGATTTCGCCATTAGTTCAGCCATTCTTTACCTTCTTCAAAATGTCAAACAAATGGGGAATGCATATTTGCAACCCTGCCCTTCTGTTCTGTGCAACTGGAGGGCATATATTAAGCATATTAAGCGTATTCAGCTCTTGATCGTTGTCAAAACACGGCAATTGCCTCACGATTATTAACCTAGAAATATGCAAATGAGATACGCTCACACGTGTTGGAGGGATGCTAAAGTAATATTTGTCTTGTGCTGATCTAGTCTGGGGATGTGTTTGCTAAAGAGCTACTCGAAGGCCTGAAGATGTTGAACCAACATCCCGTTAGAGCCATGGGAAGGCTCAAGGCGGAAAAACTTCTGTGAAGGAAACGCGGGTGAGACAACGAGGCAGGAGTTGAGCCTTTAGGGTGTGAGGTGGAAAGAGTTAACTTCTCCTGGGGAATCACCCCGACCTTCCTCCTGAACTGCCGGTGTCAGGCTCCGGCTTTCCGGGAATATCCCTGCAGTGACCGTTTTCTCAGCTGAGCTGTAGCATCCTTTTCCAGCACTTAAACGCATCCCATTCCTCTGTGGCCAGAGCTTGAGGAATGCTCCTAATGCTCCACCACCTTCCTCCGCTCGCCATCCTGGCACCGCCCACACCTACCCCAGTTTTGCCGGTTATTTTTTAACTCTTTATGTACATCGAAGGGGAAAATAGAGTGCCGGGTTCGGAAAAATTATCTTAAGAATCGCTGCAGGTTAATCTAGTTCTCAACCCCAGCGGGATACTGTTTAAACTAACGCTGGTTGATATTAATAACGCTGACCTACTAATATTAGCAACATTGATGAAACTGCTGTTAATAAATTCATGCGCTTACTAAAGGGCGGGTTTAGGTGGAGCTGGCCCACGCCGGGCCTGCCAGGTGCTGGATCTGAATGAAACGCGGGAGGGGGGTTGGGACCTCTCGGGTTCAGCCCCGGCCCTGAGCCCCGACCCAGCCGGGCCCAGGCAAGGGTCCCTCGGGGTCGCTGAGCCGTCCTGGGGGAAGAAAGCAAGGACCGCCTGGAGCGGGGCTCGGCCGGGATGAGGAGCCCATGGGGTCTGTCCGCTACGAGAAAGAGCACCGCTGTACACAGGAGCAGCAGATACAGACCTCTCCTCTCTACTCTCACCGAGTAGAAAGGCTTAAATGATCCTCATTAGCTAGTCGACCCGGCTTACAGACACACCTCTGCCTTGGGGAACACATAGAAATAGCCGATGTGATGCACAAGGAAACAGGACAGGTTCCCCAGAGCCATCGGAAGAGGAGTTTGATCTTTTGGCGCAGGAGGAGGTGGGATTTGAGGGGTCTGTACCACCCTGAAAAGGAAAAAAATATCGAAAGAGGCATTTCTCACCCAAATCTTCCACTCAGAAGTGTTGGTCAGGAGACGGAGAACACAAAACATGTCCCTCTCCCTGGCTAAGAATGTTCCTGTCCCCTTCGGGGGATGCTGACCACCTGTGGACCTTCACTGTCCAGGGACCGTCCCCGTTCAGGGACCCTCAGGACCA